TGGATGGATGGATGGATGGATGGATGGATGGATGGATGGATGGATGGATGGATGGATGGATGGATGGACGGATGGATGGATTAATGGATGGATGGATGGTTGGTTGGATGGATGGATGAATGGACGGATGGATGGACGGATGGATGGACAGATGGATGGATGGACGGATGGATGAAGGGACAGATGGATGGACGGATGGATGGACAGACGGATGGATGGACAGATGGATGGAAGGATGAATGGTTGGATGCATGGATGGATGAATGGATGAATAGATGGATGGATGAATAGATGGATGGACAGATGGATGAACGGACTGACTGACTGACTGATTGATTGCGAGATGGACGGATGGATGGATGAATGAATGAATGGTTGGATGGATGGATTGATGGATGGATGGATGGATGGATGAATGGATGGATGGACGGATGGATGGACGGATGGATGGACGGATGGATGAATGGATGGATGAATGGACAGATGGATGGACGGATGGATGGACAGACGAATGGATGGACAGATGGATGGATGGACGGTTGGATGGATGGATGAATGGACGGATGGATGGATGGATGGATTAATGGATGGATGGATGAATGGACAGATGGATGGACGGATGGATGGACAGACGGATGGACAGATGGATGGATGGACGGATGGATGGATGGATGAATGGTTGGATGGATGGAAGGATGAATGGTTGGATGCATGGATGGATGAATGGATGAATAGATGGATGGACAGATGGATGAACGGACTGACTGACTGACTGACTGATTGATTGCGAGATGGATGGATGGATGAATGAATGAATGGTTGGATGGATGGATGGATGGATGAATGGTTGGATGGATGGATGGATGGATGAATGGTTGGATGGATGATTGATGGATGGATGAATTCACCCCTTCCTTCCTTTGGTTTCTCTGTCCTTNTTCACCCCTTCCTTCCTTTGGTTTCTCTGTCCTTCCCTCATTTCTTCCATCTTTAATTTGACCTGTTTTGTTATTTTTCCATAACCCAAATGATCGGTGGGGACAAAGGTCAGGGGTCATTGTTGACTCACCGAGAGCTCAGAGGAGGTCAGCGGGGTTCCATCAAGCCTGAGCTACAAAGCAACAGAGAAAAGAGCCTTAATGGAGAAAGCGAAAGAAGATAAATACATCCAATCAAACTGTGACTAAAGCTACGTCTCACTCTGGTGCCGGCCGCCTTCGGCGACAGATGGCGAACCGTGGCGGTACGGTGGCTCCTCTGGAAGAACAGCGGGTTTCCTTCCAGGTTCAGCTGGGAAACAAAACATCACAGTTTGTCCTGAACTGATCCGACACGCAGAGCTTCAAGCAAGCAGAGAGAGGAACTGAATCCCATCTCTGGGCTGTGTCTCCTTACGGTGCAGAGGCAGTGCAGCAGGGACAGAGGAGCCAGCTGGGAGTGCTCCAGCAGCAGGTTGTAGGCCAGGTCTAAATGCTGCAGCGAAGACAACTGCTCCACACCTGAACCCCCCAAAGAAAAACATTCAAAGAGCTTTTTTTCATCCTCACGTATAACATCACCACCTCAGTGACCTCATCGACCCCTCAGTCTGTCCAGAGCAGAGATTTTTCAGGGGTTTTGATAAGAGAGCCTTTACCGTTAATGGTTTCCAGTTGGTTGTTCCTGAGGACCAGCGTGTGCAGCTTGGCCCTGGAACTGGGGCTGAGCACTGGCGCCCTCTGCAGGCAGTTATAGCCCAAGTTTAAATGTTCCAGCTCAGTCAGAGGCTGCAGGAACACAGAGATGAAGGAAGCCGCTCATGACAAGGACAGAAGGAAACTCTAAAATAATTTGATTTAAAATTTAAAAAAAAGAAATACCTTTAGAAATTCCTCACAATCCTGAATCTTGTTATGACTCAGGTCCAAAGATTTCAGGACGTTTAGCAAACCCTACGAGAGAAACAGAGGATGATGGAAGCTGAAACAGTAACAGACACATGGGGACGGGGGGTTCCTCTCACCAGTGACTGGTCAAGGCACAAGATGGAGTTGTAGCTGAAGTTCAGGGTGTGGAGCTCCAGCCAAGGAAGAGCAGAGCTCAGGTCGCCTCCACACAGAGAGAGCAGCTCCTGAAAGATGACGACAGATATAGATGTATGGATCTAGATCCACAGAAGACTGACTGTGCAAGTCGTCCAGTTTAAAAAGATGAGAAAGGTTGGAGACTTTCATTTTCGGCTACAACAGAAAAAAGGAGAAAAAATAATCCAGGAAATTATGGAGTGAGTTTTGTTCCATTATTTTTGCAAGTGAAGTTTAATATTAGTTTAAAGGGAAAACAGAAGAAAAATAATTATAAATCTTTTAATGCAATGATGAGAATTTAGAAATA